AGAAGTAGAAGTAGAAGTAGAAGAAGTAGAAGTAGAAGTAGAAGAAGTAGAAGAAGAAGAAGAAGAAGAAGAAGAAGAAGAAGAAGAAGAAGAGGAAGAGGAAGAGGAAGAAGAAGAAGAAGAAGAAGAAGAAGAAGAAGAAGAAGAAGAAGAAGAAGAAGAAGAAGAAGAAGAAGAAGAAGAAGAAGAAGAAGAAGAAGAAGAAGAAGAAATTGGATTTATACCTCATGGCCCTTCACTACCCAAAGGTGTCTCAGAGCGGCTCACAAACTCCTTTCCCTTCCCCTCCCCACGACAGACATCCTGTGACGTAGGTGAGGCTGAGAGAGCTCTGGCAGAAACGGCTCTTTTTCAAGAACAGCTCTTATCAGAACTATGGCTTGCCCAAGGTCATCCAGCAGCTGCGAGTGGAGGAGTGGGGAATCCAACCCGGCTCTCCCAGATGAGAGTCCGTAGAGTAGAGTAGAACTTTTGCTCACAAGACTCCACAGCTTGGAGGGAGCATTAGCTCCTGGGCATGCAAACAGGGGCTACCTGGGAGCATGCACAGAGTGCTCTCCCCTCACCCCATCAACCGGTCTCTGTTTCTGGGGTGCAATCCTGCCTCTCGGTCATGATAGATCCAGAGCTTTGACGATGACATTCGTCCCTGTTCCTTGCCTACTGCGAGCCACCGATGTTGCACCCTCCGGCTGCCGCCCTGGACGTTACCTTGACGGCCGCAATGCAGTCCTCTTCCAGGCTGAGCCGGGTCTCGGGGGACAGCAGCGGGCCCAGCTCCCGGACCTTGTTGACCAGAGGAGCAATCTCACTTCGGCCCAGCACCTCCCTGTGTGGAAGAGAGAGTTAGAGCAGGGGTCCCCAACACGGTGCCCGCGGGCGCCTTGGCCTTCCGGCTCCCGTCCTCCCACATCTCACCATTCCCCGGGCTCTGCTGGCCGTCCTGCCCACCAAGCGTTTTGAGAAAGTGGGGCTGGGACAGGGGGGGCTTTTGCCCAGCAAGGCCTCTGTTCGGCCACTGGAGATTTGATTGGCTGTGCACAGTTTCAAAAACGTTGCCTTGGGAGCAGCTGCCGCCACAGCACACGGATCTCCACTGTGGAACTGGAGGCAAGCTGCGGCAGCCCTTTTGTGACTGGCCCTACCTCCTGCAGCAGCCATTTTGTGTGTGTCCCCGCCTCCTGCAGCAGCCATTTTGTGTGTGGCCCCACCTCCTGCAGCAGCCATTCTGTGGGTGGCCCCACCCCCTGCAGCAGCCATTCTGTGCGTGGCCCCTGCGGCAGCCATTCTGTGTGTGGCCCCCCCTCCCCCAGCAGCCATTTTGAGGCTGGCCCCACCTCCCACAGCAGCCATTTTGCGGCAGCACCCACCACGCCGTGTCAAAATTCCAAAGGTGCCCACAGACTCAAAAAAAAGTTCAGGGACCTCTGAGTGAGAGGGAGAATATCCCCACTCCCAAGCAACCCCTGGGGAGAGCCAAGCCAGGCTGTGCCCTTCAGTCGGCTTCACACCCACCGTTTCTTAGGGGGCCTCACAGTTCCTGAGGCACAAAACCCAAACGTCCCCTCCCGCCCTATCCCAGTTATCAGCACGCATCAGAGGCCCCGGTCACACGAGCGGGATGATCCGCTGCCGAAGGGAGGCAAATCAGAGCTGGAACAAAAAGAACTGTAGGAGCACGATTCGACGTGCCCCCGCGGCTCCGTGCTCCGGCAGCCGATCACACGTTGCGCAGCAAACCGGCAGTAGCGCGGTTGTGCACATGCCTGGGATGGGGAGGTGGCGGCAACGGGCTACCAGCGCTCCCCCGACCAGACGCCTTCCATTGCCGCGCATCATCCGGTAGGTACTGCTCTTTTGCTAGTACCTTTTTGATGCGCGTTTGTGGGCCGAAGGGATGGATCGAGGACGGGTGCGCGCCGCTTCCCAGATGTTGCGGTGTGATCGCGCCCGCTTGATGCGCCCCCGATCCGTCCCCCTTGCAGATCGAATCCTCCCGTGTGACCGGGGCCAGAATTGACCAAAGAAGAGATTGAAGCAGAGAAAAGATTGGATTTATACCCCACCCTTCACTCAGAGTCTCAGAGCGGCTGACAAACTCCTTTCCCTTCCCCTCCCCGCAACAGACACCCTGCGAGGTAGGTGGGGCTGAGAGAGCTCTGACAGGAACTGCCCTTGAGAGAACAGCTCTGACAGAACTGTGGCTTGCCCAAGGTCACCCAGCAGGTGCAAGTGGAGGAGTGGGGGAATCAAACCGGGTTCTCCCAGATTAGAGTACGCAAAGAATACCAGCCCCCACTTTCCTGGCTGAAGAATTTCCCAGCGGGAGAGCAGATTGGATTTATACCCCACCCTTCACTCAGAGTCTCAGAGCGGCTGACAAACTCCTTTCCCTTCCCCTCCCCGCAACAGACACCCTGCGAGGTAGGTGGGGCTGAGAGAGCTCTGACAGGAACTGCCCTTGAGAGAACAGCTCTGACAGAACTACAGCTTGCCCAAGGTCACCCAGCAGCTGCAAGTGGAGGCGGAGTGGGGAATCAAACCCAGTTCTCCCAGATTAGAGCCCGCGCACTTAACCACGACACCAGACTGGCTCTCTCCTCCACTCACCTTTGGTAGATGTTGCTATTCCAGTCCAAGACGAAGTACAGGTCAGAGACGGTCATGGTCTTCTGGACCACCTCGGCCAGGCGCTGCGCCAGCCCTTGGTGGTAGCCGCAGAGGTAGACGCTGAAGGCCTCGTACTCCTTTGGATAAGCATGCAGAAGGTGGAACCTCACCGTGCACAAGTCCTCCCAGGCGCACTTGGCCAGCCGGTCCATCAGGGCGGGAATGGGGCCAGACCTGCCTTCCGCGCACTGACAGAGCCTCTGGCCGACCAGCCGCTTGACCGCTTCCAGCCACTGCTTCTTCATGCCACGGGGCCGGGCCCCGGATCCCTCCGCCGTGCCCCCCTTGGCCTCCAGCCACCTGCGGTCCGTCTCCTCCTCCTGCTCGATGACGCGTACCATGAGTTCCAGCTTCGGGTGGACGCTCTTGGCCGCCAGCGCCTCGGCCTGCACGGCCCAGAGCTCCTTCAGCAGGGCTTCGTAGAGCAGGGCCACGTCCTTGGCCTTCCGGCTCCCGTCCTTCCGCACCTCGCCGCTCCCCGGGCTCTGCTGGCCGTCCTGCTCGCACTCGGCCTCCAGCTCAATGATGTGCTCGTCGGCGGTCAAGAGATCCCTCTGGTGGATGAGGTTCAGGATCTCCAGAACTGGGAGGGAGCAAGAAGAAGAAGAAGAAGAAGCCTAATGTGTAGAGATGATGGGGAGGCCGCCTCTCGACCTCTCAGGAACTTTCGGGGAGGGGGGCGGAGGCGGCAGCAGCAGACCGGGGGCCAAAGAACAGCCTGATTTGGGGCTCCACCTTGGGGAAGAGTTGTGGCTCAGTGGCAGAGCCTCTGCTTGGCAGGCAGAAGGTCCCAGGTTCGATCCGAGGTGGAAAGAGAGCAAGGGGAAGGGAAGAGCAACCAGGGAAGCATGCCTCCCTTTCACTTTCCCAGCCAACCTGCTGGGAGCCGCACAGTATCTGTGAAAGAGCCACATGTGGCTCCCAAGCCGCAGTTTGGCCACCCCTGGATTAGATGGACCTTCTCCAGCGGGGCTCTTCTCATGTTCTTAATCAGGGGTCCTTTCCTAGACAAAGAGGTGCAGGAGCTCATTTGCATACCTCATTCGCATATGCCACGCCCCCTGACAAAGGGCAGGCATGTTTAAAATGAGTTTAAATCCCCCCCCCCAAGTCTCTCCACAAAAACGGAGAGGCTCAGGGGAGAGGCAGTCATCCCTGGGTTCCCTGCCCAATCTTCTCCAGAAGGAGAAGAAAATCTTCTCCAGAAGGAGAAGATCAGGCAGGGAATCAAGGCATTTAAATCCCCTCCTCCCTAAGTGTCTTCGTGGGCCTGGGCACCTTTCTGCCGGAGCACTGTGCTTGAGACCCTGGAGAGCGGCTGCCAGCCCGAGTTCCAGCTCTTAATGACGATTACTCTCCAGATGACAGAGATCAGTTCCCCTGGAGGAAATGGCTGCTTCGGAAGGTGGGAGTCTATAGCATTCTATCGCACTCGTGTCCCTCCTCTCCACAAAGCCTGCTCACCGCAGGCTCTGCCCTCGAATCTCTGGGACTTTCTCCATCTGGCATTGGCAGCCCACAGCCACAGTCCTAACCTCCCCCTCCTGTGTGTCTCCTGAAGGGCAGGAAGCCGTTTCCACGGGGCCTCAGCACCTTCCTGACATCCTGACCTCTCCCAGCTCCATGCGGGAGTAAGAATTCTCCCCTCCCTCCCCACTGGCTAATCTTTAACAGGATCGGAGCCAGGGGTCAGCCTTGATGCGAAGATTCCACAGGCGCTGGGTGAAAAGGCCCAAACCTGTAGATGTGGCCTGGGGGTTAATGATGTGGCGAGAGAAACACTGCCCCAGCCTTCCTGGAATTTGACCCCCAGAAACATCTGTCGAGAGGGTGGAGACACCCCCAGGAACCAGCAGACTCCAAGAAGGGCCAGTCCCTGCCAGCTGCGTGCAAAGGGGAGATTCCACCAGATGGAATGACGCTTTCGCCAGCCGTGGGAATGACCCTGCCTGGTCAGCACTGGGGAGGGGGTGTTAATGGGGGGGGCCCCCTCCAATTTCTCAGTTCTCAGCAGACATGTTGGTGGTAGAAGGGGGAGCCAGTTGTCCTTGTGTCCGGATGAAAATCACACTTCAGTTCATGCGAACGTTCTCAGCAGACATGTTGGTGGTAGAAGGAGGAGCCAGTTGTCCTTGTGTCTGGATGAAAATCACACTTCAGTTCACGCGAACACACAAAGCTGCCTTCTACTGAATCAGACCGCCAGACCATCAAGCTCAGTATTGTCTACTCAGACTGGCAGCCGGGGTCTCAGGCAGGCGGAGGTCTTTCCCATCACCCTACCACCTGGTCCTTTTCAACTGGAGATGCCGGGGATTGAACCTGGGACCTTCTGCATGCCAGGCAGAGGCTCTGCCACTGAGCCACGGCCCCTCTTGACAGCTCTCCAGGGTCTCAGGCGGAGGTCTCTCCCATCCCCTCCTGCCTGGCCCTTTTTAACTGGAGATGCCGGGGATTGAACCTGGGACCTTCTGCATGCCAGGCAGAGGCTCTGCCACTGAGCCACGGCCCCTCTTGACAGCTCTCCAGGGTCTCAGGCGGAGGTCTCTCCCATCCCCTCCTGCCTGGCCCTTTTTAACTGGAGATGCCGGGGATTGAACCTGGGACCTTCTGCATGCCAGGCAGAGGCTCTGCCACTGAGCCACGGCCCCTCTTGACAGCTCTCCAGGGTCTCAGGCGGAGGTCTCTCCCATCCCCTCCTGCCTGGCCCTTTTTAACTGGAGATGCCGGGGATTGAACCTGGGACCTTCTGCATGCCAGGCAGAGGCTCTGCCACTGAGCCACGGCCCCTCTTGACAGCTCTCCAGGGTCTCAGGCGGAGGTCTCTCCCATCCCCTCCTGCCTGGCCCTTTTTAACTGGAGATGCCGGGGATTGAACCTGGGACCTTCTGCATGCCAGGCAGAGGCTCTGCCACTGAGCCACGGCCCCTCTTGACAGCTCTCCAGGGTCTCAGGCGGAGGTCTCTCCCATCCCCTCCTGCCTGGCCCTTTTTAACTGGAGATGCCGGGGATTGAACCTGGGACCTTCTGCATGCCAGGCAGAGGCTCTGCCACTGAGCCACGGCCCCTCTTGACAGCTCTCCAGGGTCTCAGGCGGAGGTCTCTCCCATCCCCTCCTGCCTGGCCCTTTTTAACTGGAGATGCTGCTGGGGACTGAACCTGGGACCTTCTGCATGCCAAGCAGAGGCTCTGCCACTGAGCCACAGCCCCTCTTCACAGCTCTCCAGGGTCTCAGGCAGAAGTCTTTCCCATCACCTGCTGCCTGGTCCTTTTCATTGGTCCTTTTCACTCCAGCTGAGTTTCTCTCCCACAGTGCCAGAGTCACTGGAAAAAGGGAGGTGGTGGAGTCAAAGCAAGGTTGGAGTTTCTTGAGGACACTTCAGTGGGACATCCTTTGGGACCAAAATGGGCCCAGCAGATTTAAAAACAAACAAGCCCCCCCCCCCCATAGACTGGCTTGAAGATGTGGAGATTTGGAGGCCTTAAGACAATACATTTGGGATTCCCTCCAGATTTGCTTTCTAAATCCTCCGCATTCAGGAGTTTTGATCTGTAACTAAAGGAGAAACAAAACAATAGCTGGAAAGAAATTCAACCCAGTTTTGCTTTGGCGAAGTAACAACATCTCTGCACTGCAAGGGGCAAGACTTTGAATGCTGGGCCTCAGCCCTGGAGCACTGCCACAGTAGTGGAAGGAAGTGGACTCTGAGCATGTGCAGAGCTGTTTTTAGCCACCGAATCTGGAATTAGGGGTGCAGGGGTAACTTAGGTCATTTTCTCTTGAATTTGCTATTTTATTCCTATTAAAAAGCTTAACATTTAGAGCCTTGGGCAGGGTGGCCAGGCCCGCGTTGGGAAATACCTGGGGATTTGGGGATTGGTAAATGAAAAATAAACAATAACAACCCTGATATAACTTTGAGAAGTCAATTCAATGTCTCGAGTGTTTGATAAATATTAATACATTTCTGTGAAATCACACGGGCATACGCATCCTTCACCAGGGCTTTCTTTGTAGAAAAAGTCCAGCAGGAACTCATTAGCATAATAGGCCACACCCAACAGAAACCTATTAGCATATTAGGCCATACCCCTGACAGCACAGCTCATTAGCACATCAGGCCGCACCCCCATGTTACCAGAAGTGTGGTCATCCAGCCACACCCACCTTTTGCTTCTTATTCTGTTGACCTTGTTTGTGGTCAAAACCCAGGGCTTTTTTTTTTAACAGGAACTCCTTTGCATTGGAGGCCGCCCAGCCCTAATGTAGCCAATCCCAATGAGTTCCTGCTGTTGGGTGTGGCCTATTATGCTAATGAGTTCCTGCTGGGCGTGGCCAACTTGGGAGCCAGCCGGAACTCCATTCCTGTGCGTTCCTGCCCAAAAATAGCCCTGTCCTTCACAATAAGAATAGTCCAAGGACACGGTCCTCTATTGCAGGAGACCGCCTGGTCCTCTTCACCTCAAGCGTCATCCAATGCAAATAACATGCAAGAGCCAATAAAAACGTTCTTAGTGTCTTTCTTATTTTTATATCCAATGAGCACGAAAAGTCACAATTCCACTGCTCGAAACACCTGTTTCAGTAAGCTTCCTCAGGGCAGAATTCGTGTAGACTTTGCAAATTCTCTTCTTACTCAGTTTTTTGGCTACATCACCTCTCTCATAGACATGATGCAGCCAAAAAACTGAGAAAGAAGAGAATTTGTAGTCTACACGAATTCTGCCCTGAGGAAGCTTATTGAAACAGGTGTTTCGAGCAGCGGAATCGCTACTTGGATGTAGCAAAAGCTCACAGAGCAGGAGCAGTCAGGAAAGTTGCTCCCACATTACCCATTTTATCTTTTTCTCTACTGTTATATAAATATTGGTCTCAAATATTATCAAAAATAGGCTTCACCCAAAAAACCCATCGAAGTGCAGGTTTACATTTTGCACAAATATTCAAACCTGCACTTTGATGTTTTGTTTGGGAGAAACCTATTTTTGATAATATTTGAGACCAATATTTATATAACAATATAGGAGGGGAAAGGGGGGGGAAAGCACAAGATTGATTTACC